TAAACTATAATGAGGTTATGGTTATGAGGTCGGTCCTACGGACCGAGCCCGTGTTGAAAGAGTTAATGAATGCAATGTTGTGCCAGTCTCCAGTTTCTTCTGTATCATTCTTCATTCCTGGGAAGAATTACACCTTATACTTATAGAATCTTTTGCCAATAAGATAAGAAAACCAGCTTTTAACCAAAAGATGAGAGCATTGCCACTACATCTTCAACTGTGAATATGCAAAGAAAGGAACAGAGCATGAACTTCGATCATATCATTAAAAAAGGCAATTTTAAGAACTTTTTCAGAAATATTAACTGTTTTTCTTGGATAGATAATGCAACATCTACTAACCCAGAAAAGTACATAGGAAAACAAGAAATACTGAGAATCAAATTGAAAATAAGAAAGATACAAAACAAATAAACTACTGATGATTAAAAGGAAGGTACAAGCATAACTGATAAAGCCAATCAGATGAATACACTTACTCAGATTGGTAGAACCCTTATGTTCTTGCACTGCTACCTTTTTTTTAACAGGCACAATAGTTCCTTCTGTCTTATCTTTGCCTGAGAATAAAGCCGCCATACGAGCAACTCGACTACAGCTGGTCTGAGAACAAATATTCCCACTGCCACTGTCTGAGAGAATACATTGACTTGGATCTACACGATCAACAGATCCACCAGACTGTGCAAACTGGTATGTTGTTGGAAGAGAAGCATATTCTGTCTTTTCTGAGCCAGGTATTGTGGACACACTTTTACTTGAGAACATTGTTTTTGGCTGTTGATTTTTTGTACTTTCTGAGAAATCCACATTTTGTAATGGGGTCGATGTTGTGAATTTGGTAAAACCAAGTCCATATGGCCCATTCTAAAAATAAACACAAAATTTTGAGAATTTTGAAATGCTGAAATTTAGAACTTGTATGTTGTTTGAAAAAGGATTTTTATTATTATTTTAGAACTTCTCAGTGAAAATAAAGAAGAATGCAATAATCTGGTAACCACTCTACATCTACTTTATTCAGTGCCAATGAGGACCATCACCAAATACTCAGGGCTCAGAAGCTTGCTGGTATATGACAGAGAAAGTGAAGGTCATTGTTATCTCTTCTAATTTTGTCTGAGAGAAAGCAAAATACAAATTAAAACTGTAATTACCATGAATGCTATCAAATAACTATTACCATATTTGACAGTGTATAACATCATACTTTTTTACTCTTAAAACAATGCCTGGTTTTACCCCTCATCTCATACACAGGTTCAAAGATAAGAGTTCCAGTAAGAACTCTCCATATTTAACCAAAACTATGTTGTTCCTGTTACTTTTGTTTGCTTTTTTGAGTAAGAGCATTGACACCATGCCACATACTGCATTAGAATAACATATTTCTAATTATATCATGTCTCGATTCCTCATAGCTATAAGTTATATATCTCACATGCTAGTTACAATTAGTCAAGACATTTTTGATTTGAAATGCAAGCCATTTCATTTATATGCATTATTTTAATACAATATATTTAACAATAAAATTGAAAGAAAAAGGAGTTAAGTCATTCAAATAGTTTACTAATGCTTACCATACTCCTAACTACACTTATCAGAGGTGCAAGAAAATTATTGTAGCTTTCAAACAGATACAATTTAACTAAAAAGGCTTTCTCAGGAATGAAAAGAACATAAAAAGAAACTATAAAAAATTATCTGATCTGTGGTTTATTCCTAGGTGTGGGTAGCCAGTATATCAACAAACCACAAATTATTGCTATCACCACTTTATTCAATTTACATACATTAAAATCTCTTCTACCCGATCATTTTTGGCCATTGACTAGCTAGTTTTTAAAGCTAAGCTTCATTTGTAATTGTTCAGCAACATGCTGTGACATAATAAATGGGTGACAAAAAAGGCATGAGTAATAAAACCACTAACAGAGAAGAAAAATTAAATGAAAAAACATGATATGAATCATTATGTTTTCAAGGGATGATAGTTTCTTAGCAAATATATACATATTTTGGGATGGGCACAAAAAAAAATATAAATCCTGGAGTTGTGCAGAAATAAAAATGCACTATTTCATTGACTGTTCTATGTTATACTAATAAATGTTATGTAATATTGAAAAAAATCAGTTCTAAAATATTTTTTAGTAAACTTTAGTTGAAAAGAGCTAGAAGTATATACTTTACTTGAACTTTAATATGCAGGTATGCACTCAACACCTGAAAAGTGCACACTGGTTTTAACAGGGTTAATATGCATATGATAATTACTGTTAAAATAGGTAATCTAGAATTGTGGAATACTACACTAGGACCTTGGTCTAACTTAGTAGTAGAGTAACATCATTTTTCTTGTTTCTGTCTTTGGCTTGTGTAGATGTGTTTTCCACTAGATCCAGTGATCAGAGTTCAATGTTGAAAAAAGAAAGCAACACACTTCTATAAATGAACAAAGTTTTTTGTTTATCTGTTCATCTGTGTTTACTTGTTTCTACTTTGCTATCCATGTTCATTTTATTCTCTGTATAATGTCTACAGAACCTGCTGTATTGCAGAAGCTTATAATTATCTGTCAGAAATCAAAATACCTCAATAACACAGTAATATATATCTTTCAATGCTTAAGACGTGCTGTATAGTAATTGTTTTTCATATATATTTTAATGGCTGTAGCTGGTGGTCAGTGGCAAGACCACATGAAGTAGTACAGTTACATCAGTGGCACTGAGTTATAGGGGCCTCAGACCCCAGGTTTTTTTTTTACTAAGTTTTAAGACTTGAGTTAGTTTTCTGGAAACTGCTGAAATCTTGTCATTGTTTTATTAGTGAACAAACTTCTATATAGTAAAACCTCAACTATACATAATTTGATTTCAATCAAGCTATTACAATGCAAGTTTAAAGTCATTTCTTAATTGTGGAAAAAAAAAAGCTACTGTATGTTATACAATGCTCTACATTGTTGTCTAAGATGCAAGTAATGAATGTGATACCTGTGGATTAGCTTTCCGAGATGCCTGTATCAAACATGGGCCTGTCCAAACAAAAACGGACTCTTATCCCAGGACTAATTCCAATAGTAATAATAGATATTTTTAACCTGAGTGGTTTCATTTATGTTCTTAGCTGGAGTACAACAACACCATAGATGCTGTTGGTAAACATTTTTATGACATGACATTTCAACAAGTTGGCCCAAGGCACTACAAGCTAAAAAAGTTCCATCCATTTAGCATGATTGAGATTAAAGTAATTTCAGCAAACATGTTCCTACAGATACAATGTTCTGCAAATAACAGAGGAGAAAACTATTGCTAGGAACTGAAGAAAGGCAGCAGACATGATATTTTATGTTATTAATTTTGTAAATACTTTGATTTGTCTAAGCCTTTCTATGCTACGTCACAAAGAAACTGAATCCTCACCCAATATAGAAGTTTTTCTTGAGTTTGTTGAATTTATTGCTTGCTGAAATCCAGATGGGGCAGAACATCTACAAAAACCAAAAGTTAATTCCCATGGATACCCTGATTACATCTCACCTACATCTCAAAATGAAATGACTTGTGCCGGTGCTGAGATTTTTCATAAACTGTTGTGACATTAAAAAGACAAAGCACTTTTCCAAATACTAAGAAAAAAATCCTTATTGCAGCAAACGAGCCCAATTTTCCTTTGTTTTAGGTATGTCAGTGAAAATGGAGAAGTAACTAAATCTTTACTAGATATGATAGTGTGCTCTCATACTATATCTGCAAGAAAGTTCAGTCAACTGCATAATATTTTTGGAAAAATATGGTTTATCATTCGACAACTGGCATGGCCAAGGATATGGGGACTGTTCTACTATGTTTGGCCATTACCATGGACTCCAGACACACGTGTAAAACTGAGCTCCAAATGTACTGTATCATATGACCTTGATTAAGTTTAGTGATTGTGGTTACATGTAGAAAGGCAGCACAAAGTTACCCAGTTTCTTTCAAGTACATTCAACAAAAATGGAAGCCTAGAGGAAATGGCACTCTGCAGTCTCTGACCACAATAACTTGATTAAACTGAATATAAAACTATAACATAATTTTCAGCACACTTATTTTTGTGAAGTCTATTAAAATTTACTGTGTACAATGATAAATTTGACTGTGAAAACTTGACTTTGAATTCTTTCTAGTGAGTATGGAAGAACTATTGAAATTATGTCACGTGGCTTCGAAATATATCTGAGGTGAGAATATGAATATTGCATTAGCAAAATATCATGTTTATATTATATTTAGTTTTAAAGCATGAGATATGAGGAAACTTTTAACCAGCAATTTGCAACAGCTGAAAAAATAGCAGACAGTATTGATATTACTTACTCAAATATGAATTAATTTTCTAAAACTTTGCCAATACTCTTGATGTCCATTGACTGTTTAGCATATCACCAAGTACAGAGAAAATCCCTAAGTTATAAGCCTTCTATATAGGGAAAATCAAATGTGAAATTCTGGTTTATGAAAACAAGCTGTTTGCTTGACTAGTATTGGAAGTTGCTTGGCTTCTTAAGTTGAAAAGAATTGACCAAATTTACTCATATACAATGAAGAAGAGGTTCACAGAGATGTTCCCAAACTTTAGCTCTCTCTCTCTATCTATTGATTCTAGCTCTGCCAATCACATCTTCTCCATGCTCAAGTTTGCCAAAATCAAATTCTACAGCATTATGGTAGAGTAGCATTTAGTGACTTGATAGTGCTGTCAGCTCAGTTGAAATAAGTGAAAACAAGTTATATTTTATTCACAATTGTTTATGGAATCACTTTACTGTTTATCATTAAAGGTAGTTGTTCATTTGTCCCTTGTATAATGTTGTATGTAATACTGCTACAGATATTGTGTTACATATACTATACACATTGTTTTGTGTACTATAGATATATATGAAATATTTTGGACTACACAATGATGGCCATTCTTATTGCTTAACCTGTCATTTGTACAAAAACATGCAACCGTCACATGCACATAGTTGTATCAGGGTGTGCAATTTCTGACAAAATAAAATTATTGTCCAAGACACAAAATACTAGAAAAAATCTACTTGCCACCTCAATATCCTACAAAACACACACATACACACACAAATTGAATATAACTGTTGGAGTTTTGTTTTTGTTAAACAATAAACAAAGTTGCTGCACTCATCTAACCTGTATCAAGGTGTTAACTTGAAAAACAATAACAGAGTAAACAAAGAAGATAACTACACACTCAAATGGGCCCCAAAGATTACTTGTAGAGCACTAAAATTAACATTCCAACCAAAAGTTCTTAATCATACGAAAATAAACACAATCCATCAGTGATTAATAATAATTTTTGCTTCATAAAAGCAAATAAAGAAAATGTAATGCAGTTCAAACATACTTGCAAAACTGAGCAAATATAGCATCAAATATTTTTCTTTTGTTTTTCATGATTCACTTATTATTACAATGTCATTGTACATTTCTGTTTTAGTGCAAATATACATATATATTACCATATATATATGTTATGTGCCAGACTAGTTATTCAGATCATTACTTTAGAAATTAATACTAACAGAGTGCTGTATATTTCATTTTGATTTACATCAGTCTTTCTCTTTTTTCTGTTCTTGCTCCTGTTTCATTTATGAAATTCTACATGCTGGAATACATTTTACAAACAGCATTATAAATACTTTCCTATTGTATTATATATATATATATATATA